CATTTTCACAACACCACAGATTATATTTTGTGTTTACATTTACATACATTTATTTAGCAGACACTTTTATTGAAATTTTTAATAGCATTCTTATGTGGCAATTATGGTGTTGGAAATCACTTTTTAAATATTTTTAGAAATGAAAAAAAGATGACTCCTTTGTCTTTTAAAGGCTAATTTCATTAGCTTTAAATGTGTAATACTTTATTTTGTATAATGGCTTTTCACATTGCATGATTGCAGATCTGGATCTGGGACAAATGTAAAACAAAATTTATACATAACATCTGAAAAGTGGCAAAAATAACTGATGGAGGCATGACAAAAAAATGTCAAGAGAGTTCAAATGTTCGCGCGAAGTTGGTGTATTTTCTCAGCGACCAGCACGGATCAGCTCTAGGCATGACGAAGCGGATATTGTCCTCTTTTGGAAGACCAAACAAAGTAGTTTTGCTTTCACAACGAAACACACAGCGCCTTCACGACATGGTAGCGGCGGCACCAACAATACTACAGCAAGAATAAAAGTTACGCCTTCTTTCTTTGCGTGAACATTTGGGCGGCGTTATGCAAATCTTCCCACATCGTGACGTAGACATGTGGGGGCGTGTTAGAACGAGCCATTTTAGGTAGGCGTGGTTGACTCTTAACTTTTATAAAGAATATCTCTTTGGATTTGAGACTTTAGTCTTTGCAAATTTACAGATCTTCTTTATGCACCAAGAGCTTGTAGCACTCCAAAGAGAAAGGACAAATTTAAATCGCATCATATGACCCCTTTAAAATAAAGTGTTTCTCTTAGTTTTGCTAGTGAATCAAAAACTTCCAGAGAAGGATATGATTGCAAAGACTGCAAAAATATATATTTTTTTCTATAGAAAATGAAAATGTTATGTAGACCAAATTAATCAAAAAATGTGGAAAACATCAACATGATTCAGTACAATCTAATGCAGTTTAAGGAACTAAAAATGAAAACAGGACCAAACACTAGTATGGAGGATTACAAATGGTTAACATCATGTCAGCATGTCTATATAACCTTATAGATAACAAGAACTAATTTCCATTTTCTCCATGTTTCAGATGCTTTGAGAAAGATAAAAAAAACAACAACAACATGCCACTCAACTGCTACTGACTACCCGTATATATTACACTGTAAAAAATGATATGATGAAAAAGCCATGACAGCTTATATTCGACACCCCTGCTTTAAACAATCACTTTTTTTTTTTTGTTATTCAAAATATTGAATGTTTAATTAATGTGTGTATATTGAAGTCTGTCAGTGTGTATTGTTTATAGAATAACCAACTGTTAGTAATTTTTACTGTTATTTTCTGATTTTAAAGGCTCATGGTGAGACACTTCATACACACAAGAAGGGCGTGCAAGCTGTAGTATATTTTTTTTATCTGGATCTAAAATAAAGTTTACATTATCATAACTAGAAAATTAATGTTAAAAATTTTGAACTTAAGTTGAAAGCAAGTATTGTAAAGTCAAATGAACTTCAATAAAACAATTCAGCACTAGGCAAGATTTAAATTAGTGAGTTGAAATGACTTGTACTTTTAAGTTGATTTAACTTAAAATTTGAAGGCAGCCACAAAACGTACGTTTTTAAGTTGAAAGGGGTGGACATTTTTTTACAGTGTAGGCACATCAAAGTGGACAGAAAAAAAAAGCTGAACAAAGATAGTTTTGTGAAAAATCTTTTAAGATTACCAAGAAAAAAATTCTGCCACAGTAGACTTTGCCACACAAATTTATGAGTGTCTAGAATTGTGTGATCTTTTGAAAGTCATTATGAACGATCCATTAAATGGTGTTTTCATGCTGGGTTTCCTTCAGGTGGTTTTGGTGGTAGGTGGTAGGTGGTATATGTAATATATTTGGAAAACAGCCCACTCAAACTAAGTTATCTTAGTCTTCTACCACTTTACAGCAAATTAGATAGAGAGAAGAACAAGAAGCCATGATGCAGGTTGTATTTATGAGAACGACTTGGAGCTTAACTAACTGAGCTATGATTGCTATTAAATTAACTAGTTTTGTGAAAAATCTTTTAAGATTACCAAGAAAAAAATTCTGCCACAGTAGACTTTGCCACACAAATTTATGAGTGTCTAGAATTGTGTGATCTTTTGAAAGTCATTATGAACGATCCATTAAATGGTGTTTTCATGCTGGGTTTCCTTCAGGTGGTTTTGGTGGTAGGTGGTATATGTAATATATTTGGAAAAGAGCCCACTCAAACTAAGTTATCTTAGTCTTCTACCACTTTACAGCAAATTAGATAGAGAGAAGAACAAGAAGCCATGATGCAGGTTGTATTTATGAGAACGACTTGGAGCTTAACTAACTGAGCTATGATTGCTATTAAATTAACTTCTGGATCAGAGCACAATGCCGAGACTCATTTGCTTTTCCAATTCAATAAAGAGTGCTCTGAACACAAGTAAGGAGGGCTAAAACAAACACTAAATATCAGTCACTAAAATACCATGGAGAAACAAACCCTATATATATATATATATATATATATATATCATAGACTGAATACATGAGCGTTAAGTGCAGGAAACCATAATATCTGCTGATGCAGTAAATTGAACTTAATCTAAATAACGAGTACCTCAAAAAAAAAAAATGCAATGACTAGTATAAAGTAGGCAGTTAAAATGATTTGGTTACATTAATGAAATGATCAGCTTGAACTTCTTTTTTGCCAACTTTTCCACTTTGCCACCCACCAATTGTCCTCACAGAGTGTTTTTTTGTGAATGTTTCAAACAAAACTGTGACAGAACCTCTGTTTCATCTGTCGGTGTGGTTCCCATTTCCAAAAAGTCGGAACAATTGTGGCCTTTCATGATTACAGAAAGGGACTAAAATGAGATTAAGATGCATTACATCATTCGATTCAGTCCAGCAGTTAAGGAGAGTTCTTCTCTGTGTACATCTATGTTTATGAGCAGCTCTGGCTCAAGCCCCAGTGATTTTCACTGAACTCAGTCTGATAAGTGGGTGGAGGAGACTGCAATGTCATCTCAGAAACAATGTTTGATTTGACAAAACTCAGATGGATAACTACAAAACACACCACAAAAGACTCCGCTTACACTCAGCTTACACCAATGTGCCATTTTGTAAAACAAAAACAATGTGCCATTTTGTAAAACAAATGATTATTATGCTGATAATATAATCTGTAATGATGGATAACTACAAAACACACCACAAAAGACTCCGCTTACACTCAGCTTACACCAATGTGCCATTTTGTAAAACAAAAACAATGTGCCATTTTGTAAAACAAATTATTATTATGCTGATAATATAAAATGTAATGAAAAAAAAATGCATTAAAAATCTCTTGGACTCCACTGACGCCAACTTTTGGCGAATATATATATATATATATATATATATATATACAGTTAGTTTTTAACATTTTAATGGAATTAGGTCTTTCAAATACAGATACCAACAGCTTTTAAATTTTATTGACTAATCAGGATAAAGTAACTACTGTACTAATATTTTACACAAATATTAAGATTTTGAAACTATTTAATCGCCCTCATCATTCAAAACATTCTTTTTTTTCTGTGGAACAATAAACCTCCATTCTGCTTTTTTCCATACAATGAAAGTGAAAGAAAGTCATACAGGTTTGGAATGACATAAGGGTGAGTAAATGATAACAGAACTATTCTTAAAGAACGAATTAACTATTGCCGATTCACTCCCACCTCCATTTAGTTCCATTATCAACCCCATGCTTCACAAATTACTGTACAATCAAATATAGAAAACCTTAACAGTTTTCTTGACGACAGCTATGCTTTGACATTGAGTTACACTTCTGAATGAGCAACAGGAATCATAGCCACTGTAATGAAAACCATGCACATCCCAAGCTTAGTGTGTTTGGATCAGCACACAGCGTGTGGGTGTATGTGATGTTATTGTGTGTGAGAGGGGAGGGTAATTATCCAGTATGCACGCATTCTGTGGTGAAGGAGGGTGGGACGGCTCGAATGTTGCCTTGTAATCAGGCAGTACGTCTATGTTTTAAGTTACCTCATTGTCATCTCAAAATAGGCAAGCACAGCGGATGGGCAATCGCAGAGGTGGAACCTCAAATAACAAGATGCTGTTTCTTTCGAGCTTGAAGATGAACTTTTTCCAAGCTCAGAGCATGCCTGTTATGAAAACCATGCACATCCCAAGCTTAGTGTGTTTGGATCAGCACACAGCGTGTGGGTGTATGTGATGTTATTGTGTGTGAGAGGGGAGGGTAATTATCCAGTATGCACGCATTCTGTGGTGAAGGAGGGTGGGACGGCTCGAATGTTGCCTTGTAATCAGGCAGTACGTCTATGTTTTAAGTTACCTCATTGTCATCTCAAAATAGGCAAGCACAGCGGATGGGCAATCGCAGAGGTGGAACCTCAAATAACAAGATGCTGTTTCTTTCGAGCTTGGAAGATTAACTTTTTCCAAGCTCAGAGCATGCCTGTTATTTTGCTCTGATTTATGAATTGTGAAAATGTACATCCGGTGAACACAGCAGAAGATACATTTAAAGAACAGTTTATACAGTGTGATCCAAACGTCTGAGAAATGTATTTAGGAAAATTAACTATGTAAAATGAAGAATTTTTTTCCCTCATTATTTCTAGGTCACTAATCAAAATCCTTTGTACAAGAGGTCAGATTTCCTTCCATTAAAGCACACGATACTCTTTAGATCATTCTCAAATCATGCTGGAAAACATGATCATCATGTTTTACACAATTCAGTTCATGCAGCTCGATTGCTGCTGTCATTAAAACAAAAGGGAGCCAAACCAAATACTATGACATTTATATTAACATTTCAATTCAACTTTCCACTCAAATTGTTATGCTGATAATATAATCTGTAATGAAAAAAAATGCATTAAAAATCTCAGACTTTTGAACTCCACTGATGCCGACTTTTGGAGCCAGACATTTCTTAACGAAGGAAGGAGGGAAGGCACATAAATGTTCCCCCTTTTTATTTATGGTAAGATTTTGAGAAACAGCTACTATAAGCACTGAAATTACTTCAAAGGCGTTTGCTCTGCTGATTATGGAGATCCACCAGTCTGTGTTAGTAATTTATGCATTTGTTTATTTAGTTTTCACGAGCGTTCTCTTTTCATCAATGTTCACATGCAATCCCCACAGGGGCCCACCATCTTATCCTGTGCCACCGTCCTGATGTAATATGAGCAGCATATGGTCCTGTAACCGCCCACCCCACAAATGGAAATTCTAAGCAAGATTCATGTTGGCAACTGCAATAAAACATATCTCTTACTCATTCACTGATTCCACGATAGTTATGCTACACTGGCGTTATTATATCAATGGCGGTATATATTATATACCTTCACCCCAGTCTCCAAATGTCTGTTCTATCTTTGGTATCTTTATTGCAGTCACTGCCTCTACTTGCAAATGTCGAAAAATGTTCATCTGTTTCTCATCTATGTGAGCAAATGGCTCTTCTGTGGATGCAAGCATGATGTTTTGGAGATGTTTTTCTAAACTTTCCCATTTGTTTTGTCACATAAATGTGCTTCTAGTGACAGACGTTGCACATATGTAGAGCAATTATGAAATGCAATCTGCTATTCAAAGGATTTCTTTCAAATTGAGGACATTTTGTAGAGTGTATTCAGTGTAATGTATATTTAAAGGAAAACTAACTTCAATACAAGGTAAACTCAATCGACAGCTTTTCATAGCGCTGATTACCACCAAACACTATTTTGATTTCTCCTCGTTTTCTTTAAAAAAAAAAAACGTTAGGTTAATGTGAGGCCATTTCTGGAGGATTTAAAAGCAGAAATTAGAAGCCAATTACATTCATTTGCACATAAATGTTTTCTGTTAAAATGTGTTCATTAAAATGTTTCAAATCATACATTTTACAGTTGTTTATGGGCTTCCAGTGTCATGGCAACAAAATTGTAAAATTGGATATAACTTTAAAAGGTTAATAAGGGATTTTGTTCCAAACTAAAATCATGCTAGCACACATATTGTTTAAATATTCTTTTAAGCATTCATTTATTTCTTTTAGTTTCTTTAGTAATACACAAA